CCCCAAAACCCCAAAACCCCAAAACCCCAAAACCCCAAAACCCCAAAACCCCAGACTTTTAAAATTATATAGAAATAAAAAATAATGTCAAGTGAGGTGTCTCAATTATGGAAAGATTATGAATCTGGCCGGACTTTTATCATTAATCCTTCAAAGAAGCCCAGTCAGCAAGAGTGTTTGGCCAATGGGACCTTTCAAGCTAAATTCCACTCCCAGATTTCAGGCAAAGGAGACAGAGAAACTAGGAAGTTATTTGAAAATAAGGATTACTTATGAAATTCCGTGAAGAATCGAATGGGGAATATTTATACTCCTTCTTTAAGTAAGCTAGAAGGCTATACACAATACCCACGGCCAAAGACTAAGCAGACAAGTAGGAAGATTTATAAGCAACGAAACTATACAGGGAGGTATTCCAGAGTAAAGTCGGTCAGGCATTTCCCTGAAGAAATCCCTTCTTACCTTGATACTAATTGGTTTGCTCCAAAGCAAAGAGCAGGCACTGCTAAGCATAATGCTAGAAGAACAGTTCTTAATAATGATAAACCTGCCATAAATAGGGAGAGGAACCTTAAAGTAGTGAGTTATAGAGATCGAGTCAAAAGTGCCCATAGGAAAAATTCGAAGATAAAAGGAGATGAGCCTAAGACACTTGCTTATTATCAAAGTATGCTTGATTTATCAAACTTTAGATTTGAGAAAAGTTAATTCAAGAAAGAATAATGTGTTTATCTCTGCTTCTACTAATGTCCAGAAGACTCTCCGGACAATGAGGCCAACAAAGATAGACCCAGCTGAGGACGACCTAGCTGAAGTGATGGAAGTTAAGAAACCGAAGAAGCCTCAGAAAGCTAAACCCAAAGCAAAAGGGAAAAAGGAAGAGGTAGTTGAAGATACACCGGAGGAATCATCTAAAGATCGGACCATCGATGCATTGAATGATCCTAGTATTTCAGATATGAGTGTTGCCTCAATTCAAGATGCAGATTACATCAGTGAGAAGTTAAGGCAAAGAACCTCTTCTCTTATGAAAAAGAAATTGGATGAATTTCATAAGGCAGAAACTTTAGTTAAGGAATATAAACCTCCAAAATTCAAAAGATCATCGAAGCCAAAATCAGTGTTCCTTAAAGTCCCTATCAAGACATCTGGTCAACAATGGAGGAGTGATCGAAGGAACATGATGTCTGTTAACCCTAGTTATTACTCCCAAGAAGTCTCTCAAATAAATAAGGATAAAGCTATGCTTCTCAAGAGAAGAGATGGAACAGTCATGAAGAATCTGGCTATGCAACAAGAACTTGAAATCACAAGTAAGAAAGCTGATAAAGAACTCCGAAGGGCCATCTACTTGCATGAAAATTAATAAGATGTTTCAACTTCCTATTATATTTTGGGGTTTTGGGGTTTTGGGGTTTTGGGGTTTTGGGG